GGGCTTTGGGGCGTCGTACCATAACTTCAACCTTCATATAATCATCCGAAAAAAGAGGGTGAGAACCTTCGAACCTTCATATATGTCCATAATGCCTTTAGTTAAGCCATAACAATAAGTTGGGAAGGTTTTACTGAAGTTGGGGGAGGGCCCATCACGAAATTTTCATTTTTTTGGTCTTCAGGTAATACGTTAGTTAGAATTTTAACATCATCCTGTATATGATGGAACCTTGAAGCACCGTAAGGTCAAAAGAGAGAGCTTTTTGACGAGTTTTTTCTTTTATTTTTTACAGAGCTTTTTGAAGAGTTTCAAGATGACAGAATTTGTAGGATAATTGTGAGTTGTGAATTGTGGCACACAACTCACAGTCTAAAAAATATTTCATACCATTGACTTGAGTGAGAGAGAGAGAGAAGGGATAGTTATGATCCTCGAATCAAGAGATGACGGGAGCTGATATAAAATTTTTGTACACCGAATGTGTAAGGCATGATACAATTACTATAACTTCTCCCGTCTTTTTAAACTCTTTGAAGACCTCTCTTTTACACCATTTATTTGAGAGAAAGGGGGGGATTGTTATAATCCTCAAATCAAGAGATGACGGAGCTGTACACCGAAGGTGTAATGCCTGGTACAATTACTATAAATTCTGCCATCTTTTTAAACTCTTCAAAAACCTCTCTTTTACACCATTGATTTGAGAGAAAGGGAGGCAATTGTTATAATCCTCAAATCAAGAGATGACGGAAGCTGGTGTAAAATTTTCTTTACACTGACGGTGTAACGCATGCTAGAATTACTATAAATTCTGCCATCTTTTTTACTATAAACCATTTTTATCGCACTTGTACAAGTTTGTGGTAATTTTTGTGGTAGACAAAGGATACTTTCGTCGCGTTGGTACAAATTTATGGGTTTTGGTGATTAGAAAAATTGGATTAGTAGTGTCAGACAATCGTAATTTGCATAATTTAAAGTTTTTGGTGATATTTTTTTACAAAAAAAAAAAGATAGCATACGTACATACACGCACTAAAAGTACTCTCTCTCTCTTCCCCTAGACCGATGATGATATCCCGCACCTCATCAGGAAATCTTTTACTTTTCACTTTTTACGTTGAAATACGGTACCAAAAACTAAAAAAGCAAAGAGCACAAAAGAAGCACGCAACAAAGACAACTCGATGGCAAAAAGTTCAAAAAAGAGATTTTCATCCGTTTTTCACCGCTATATATTTTTTTTAAAAAATAATTTTCTAAATTACGTGGCTGCCTTAATGAGGCGATTTAGGTTTTTACTTTCTTTTACTGGGGTCTTCCCCTTTCCCTTTTATTTTCTTTTCTTTTGTATTTTTGACCTCAATGGAATTCCTAAAGCATGGTGCTTTGCGCCCCTGATTTATTTGCCGCTTCATTATGTCTTCTTTCCTTATTACCGCTTCATTTTCTTGTTAACAAAAATGCATCCGATTCTGATTTATTTTGTTCATTTTCCTCTTTTTTTACAAGATTCGGGTTATTACTGCACCTCACATCGTGTCATTACAAAACAACAAAGGTAAAAAATATATATAAAATTTCAATTCATAGAAATTCACGTCACTTTCGGATTTGTAAATATTTATTTTGACGAATGCCTTGAGTTGCATCAAATCTCGTGAAAAATTTACCAGCCTTTCTTATGGTATAGCTACTTGGATCACGAGTCATCCATGCACTACATCAACTTTCCGTTTGGAATTGGGGTGAGAATGGGGTGATGAAAAATCGAGTGGTAAATTTTGAAAAAATTAAAACATTTTTTACGATATAAAAAGGGTGGAAATTTTAAATTATTGGTGGGTTTTTCTATTATTTTTTGCATTTTCTTCACCTGGCTCGCTCTTAAACGTACCATTAATTTTAAACCACACCCACCCCCCCCCCCCCCCCCCGAAAAAAAAGAAAAGAAGAACCGACCCACCTTTAGTCCAAGACTAGAACCACTGATTTGTTATAATTGGACTCGTTGAGGCGCTCCATGATGATGTCCTTGCACAAGCTACATTAATTTTACCCCAACTCCTTAACCCGCGTATAGTTTTTAGTGAAATTCGGTTAATTCACACGACGAGACCGAAAATGTAATGAATTTCTCTTAACGAAAGTCCTGGCTCGTGCTTTTCGGATTCCAAGTTTCCCATTCTCGATTGCACTCTAACTCCGATCGCTCAGCGAGGACTCGATCCAATTCGCGCGCGCACGGGTCGACCTCCAAAACAGAGTACTCAAGCGACCATGACCATTTAAGGGCATATCTCTCCACTCATGTATGAGGCCATAAGCAACCCTCCCACTCGCTACAGGATTGATGATGTCTTGACCGTTCAATAGTCAATTGGCAGAGAGAAACAAACTACATAGGACTTGCAAAGTATAATTGCAAGTTAAATTTCAAGATATAGAAGTGCAATTTTTCCTTTTACCCTCAATTCTATATTTCCAAATAGGAAAAATCTATTACCATTGAAAACGCCAAAAGGGGTGGGTCAACAGTCGATCTCCGAGACATGGAGCGGGACGAGGTGAAAGAAAAATAGATTAATGATGATGGACACAGACATTAATGAAGCGGAAAATCTACAATGCGATTCACACAAGTTCACTGCCACATGCCGTCGACGAAACAGTCAAAAAGCAAGCAGCGGCGGCTTTCGAACGCACCAGACGATATAGCAGCACTCCATCATTCACGGCGCTCCGTCCTCTTTCGATCTGTTTTTGCAATTAAAGCTCGAATTAGATCAGAGCATTCATCATGAAATGGAAACCAGAGATGGCGAATTTTAAAATGAAAATCCAGGGTCGTGATGCGATGATTCTTCTTTTAAGTTCAAAGGGTGGGTAGATGGCACATGCCAGGGGGGCCTCTAGTTTTAGCGGGCGTCCTTTCGCGCACTGTCAAACAATTCCTGAGGCAAAACCTAGGAATGTGTCGAGAAACATTATAATAGGGGAAGTTTAACAGATGTAATAAACAAAAAACCCCGATTTGTGTTAATGGGCATTGTTAATTTAGTCCGTCGCAAACCAAACTTGTTTTTGTTTTTGTCTTTTGGTCATATCAATGTGCCACGTCGGCCTCTGCAGAGCAATGTGAATGCACTTGTATCGCGTGAATAGCTTTTTGGGGGGGGTGAAATTAGACTATGACTTCCAAGAGATTTGCTAAAATATCTCTAGGAGCCATTGTTTTTTTTTTTTTCCACTCCTTTCGAATGCTGGTAATAAGTTCGAGAACACTCGTCCCTTAGAATCGGGAAGTAGTAACGGGTGGGATTGGGAAGGGTTTTGAAACGAGAATAGATTCTACTTGATTGGACGGATCTTAGACATGAGAAACTTTGCATTTCAATTTATAATGCTCACCTCTTACGAATCCCAAACAAACTTTGTGTTTGAATTAGAAGATTAAGCTTGTTTCGATATCACATTTTGAATGAGAAAAATACCATCATTTGTTAACTATAAGAGGAATTGATATTTTTCAGTTGAATAGTATCTCAATTAAGAATTTCTACTTTTGCCAAGGGATACATTACGATGATTCTTTTAAGAACCGTAGATCTTCTATGGCTCATCGAGGAACAGATTCTCAAATCGTAACGGGTCATAATGCATTGCAGTTTTTCATAATTCCTAAACAAAATGTGATGACACACAAATTTAAAAACTTTACGATCATCGAGCCAATTGGAGGCCCGTTCCCAAAAGTCTTAACAAAACACCCGTTTATCCTAATGCCAAAACGTGTTGTCTGAAGTTTGAATATGAAATGGTGACCAGCCAGAAAGCAACCTACAACCGAGTTCTTCGATGATCAGAAAGTAGCTGCTTACAATTTTTTTCACATCCCCTATTCAACATACGATAACACACGAAATTTAAAGATTTTTAAGATTCTTGAACGAGATTTACTTATGTTGAAGAACCACGATGATCCGTTTTTCAAGCTTTCCTTAAAAATGCCTGAGCAGGGAAATCTTTTAAAGCAGGAGAGGATCATTCATCAGGTCGGAAGAGAAGGGCAGCATTGAAAATCAAACAAGGACAGTGTTAAACAGCTGGTCTGGACGGGCCACTTCGTCACACTCCTGTCTCAGTCATTTTGGTCCATGCCAACAAAGAAGCGCACAAGTCGTACACACAGACACCCTCTGCTGCTCTGTGCCTCTAAGCTCTTCCAACGAGGTCAAACCTACGGATTCTGAGCACTCTCCCTAAATTCCCAGTGGCCGACCAATATATGAAATAAAAAACTCCCTCTCTCTCTCTGTCCTCTCTCTCTCTCCATTTTTCCCTCTCTCCAGTTTTCAAACAGTTTCATCATGCCATTTGCACTTGGTGCTCTGTGGTCCTTGGAAAGACGTGCGTGCGATTTTGTATCATATCTCCTATCGAGTGAAGTGATCTCTACCTCTCTCTGGTTTGGTCTTTTGCTGTTGTCGAGTGAAACAAAAGTTCACTTGCAAACTAGACAAAGGTCACGATAATCAATGCCTAGCTTCATCACTGGTTGTTCACATAAATTACGAGAGAGGCCTGAACTTTATATGGGTTGTTTAATCAAAGTTCCCTGGAGCTTCTCTTTAATAAAACTCCTCAGAAAAAAATGGGATTATTCCACGATTCCATCCGCTTTCGAAAATGTGAAAAAGATGGCGCTGGTTACTTCCGCTTCACGCCAAGGAAGAAAAGACCTTTCCTTTAATAAAGAGGGGACGCATTTTTATGTCCGGTTTATGTCAATGACAAGCCGAACTGTGTTCATACAAGGATGGAGGAGCCTCGCACGCTTGGAGCCTTGGAGATTTGGGTTTTCGATTTCGAGTGCTCTTTACAGATTGAGCAAATTCGACATCCGGGTACAAATGCCAATCTCTAATTTGTTCGACACCCGAATTGCAAATTCCAGCTCAATGTACATATGATTTAATGGACCGGGGAGATTAGAGTTCACAGAGCAAAGAGATGTTTCATTGTCAGGCAATTTAACTTGCGCATGAATAAAAGAGTGACGAGAAAGAAGTGTGTATTATTACGAGTTAAAATACTTTATAATTGGCAAAATTAGGAAAGAGTGAACTAGTGAGGAATGAGGAGAATTTCTGAATAAGTAGTAACAGAGTTTGGCCTAAGTTGATCCTCAGCCCTGCTCTTCTTCAACAGAGGCTCAGGGGAAGATGAGACCGATTCCGCGACAGCCCACGAATCATTCGAGCTATCGGAACTGAAGCAAACGTCCACCACTCCGTCCGGGCTTCCGGGCACCGATCCGAACTTGCGCTTGCTCGATCGGTGTCCGCGAATTGCCCTTGCCAGCTCCGAGACTAGCTTAGTGCACTCATCCACCATGTCCTGTCAAGAACAGAATGGAACGACGTGAGATTTTAGGGGCGTGGTTCATAATTCAACCCGAAAAAGGGGGGAAAAAGCAAATTCATTTGGGTTTCAAGGAAGGGTAATGGGCTAACCGATTCGATTCCCAGAATGGGCAAGAGCTGGTTCTGGCATTGCAGTCCCAAACAAGGGTCTAGACCATTAATCACATGAAGTATCACGGCAGTAGCCATTACAGAAGCAAGATAGCTCGTTGACCTGCAATCTGTATGGGCCAAGAAACAACAATGGCATTAGCAGATGCGACCAAAACGGGAATTCACGAAGAAACCAATTTCCTTGTTTTTCAATCGGATTATTTTTCACCTGAGAGAGAAGCAAGCAGGACCCGCTCGCATCTCCAAAGGAATTCCCAGCACAGATGGCCCTTCAAGCCGAGCCTCCTCGCGAAATAATCAATAAAAGAAAGTGGGGTCACTGGGTTCATCTTCCACTCGAGCGTGGACAGCACCAGAAGCTCCATCCTCTGTATCGTTTTGGCCTCAAACACATAATTGCTCTCCTCCACCTGAGAGAAACGGCAGTCCATACCATTAGCGAAGTGAAAAGCTTAAAAAGAACCAGCATTTGTGGAACAAGAGATCCTCAATGGCACGCACCTGGAAGTCTAACAACAGGGGGACTTGGGTCTCCTCCACCTTGGCGGCTAGAGAGAGACAGGCCACGGCGGTGAGCTGGGTCATCCACGGCTTCTCCGTCTGCGAGCCGAACCCGAACAAGAACCTGTCCAGGTAGTCGACGGCGAGCACGGCGGTGAGGGCGGAGAAGTCGCAGCGCGCGTGCGCCTTCATCATCCAACCCACCGCCTCGCGCCGAGCCCCGGCGAGGCAGGGGTCGGTGGCGAGATCCCGGCGCAGGGGGTTCACTCCCTCTCTGGAGGTGAGGCGGGTCAGCTCCTCGTCCTCCCAGAACAGATCTTGGTCCACCAGGAACGTCGCGGGGTCGTGTCCGGCGTCATCCCCGTCGCCCAGCTCTTGCTCCTGGGCCTCCCAGGGCTCCTCGGAGCAGTAGAGGGAATCGAAGAGAGAAGCGGGGCTTTGCAGGCGCGTTTCTTGACGACCCATCATCGTCACCCCACTGGAGAAGAAGAGGTCCGGGGCTTCTCTCATTACACAGAGAGAAACGTCGACCTTCACTGCTCGACTCGAACCATCCCCTCTCTCAATGCGCCTCTCTCTCTCTCTGGACTGAGTGTGAGCGAGCGAGCGAGCGACCACTGCGCGGTGCTCAATGGCACAAAGGAACTGTTTTTAAGTTCGTGGATTCCAGCAGAGAGACAGAGAGAGACAGAGAGAGGGTGACCGTATTATAGCTATATAAGTCCCTCTCTCGGTTCCATGACAGGCCATTCGCAACATTAACTGGACACGTGACGGTACTGCGATACCCGATCCCTCTGGTGGGGGTGGGGGGAACCCACCTTCCAGTGGACCCCCAATACGATCACGATTCACGAGACCCCCCTTCTCTCTCTCTCTCTCTGTCTCTGTGTGTGTGTGTGTCTCTCTCTCTCTGTCTCTCTCGTCTCGCCATGAAATTTTGCTTATATATCTAGTACTTTTTTACGTGTTTTAAAAGGGCGCGGGTGGGTACGAGCTTAATCAGATTGTCGTCGCGTTTGAATCATCTGATCTTCCCGATCTGTTGTGACCAGCTAAAATATATGGCCATGTGTGTGCCTGCCGCGGATTGTCCTCCGTGTTTTGAGTTTTTTGAATTTGTGATCCCCTCTTTTGTCCCCCACCTAAAACGGGAAAATTACCTAAAACATACTAAACCTATTACTAATTGTACTGATTCAGTCATAAACTTTTTTTTATGTCAAAAGAGTTCTAGACATTTTGCATTTGTGCAAATTCAGTTCATTGGACAAATTTTGACTGGCCGACGCTGACGTGGAGGTCGGCGAGGTCGGCCTCGCCAGCCATAGGTAGAAAAGAAGGAAAAAAAAAAGAAAAGAAAAAGATTAGAAAAAAATATTAAAGTATTATAAAAAATTATCTACGTCAGTGCCAGCTGGTTAAAATTGGCCAGATGGACTGAATTTGTACAAATGCAAAAGGTTTAGGACTCGATTGGCACAAAAAAATGTTTATGACTAAATTGACACAATTGCAAGAGATTTAAGATTTTTTTAGTAATCTTCCCCACCTAAAACAGGTGTTAAAAGGCTAGGGTGGTGTTTGTGCAACATTATAGCATTACGTTACCAATGCAAAGGCCTTTGACACCGGCCTCGGTAGAATTCTTGCATGCAATCCACAACATGCTATGATGTGAGCCCGCTTAATTTCGGTAATTAACAATTTTAGATCCTGCATGAGATTCATGTGATCCGATGATTAAGATGAAATGAGCTCGCATGTTTTGGGCACATACAAAAAAATTTCAACCTAACTTATACCCTCATGTTTTGCGGAACGAGTTACCGTCTTTAAATTATTCATTAAGATGCTGATATATCTATCTCCTTAAATTTTTTGGATCAAGATGGGTTTTCTTTTCTCACTCCTTTTTCTTCCCTTAATGAATTAAAAGTTAGAATTGGAAAATTTCATGCAAAATTTTGTCAATTTTCAATTAGGTTACCACTAATAACGTTGTTCACCCAATGCCCTGTTGCTCTAAGCGTTTCGTTTTCATTTCATGGATGGTCACTTTGATAGAAATTCAACATATTTTCGGGGGGCAATATTAGGTACGACGTGTTTACACGATACAAAAGATAGCACGAGCCTAACTACGGATTATAAAGAGAAAATCCAAACATAATAGGTCACTATACACTTTACGTGTATATATACACGAGCTAATACATTTTCGTCCCAAGTCATTTATCTGGCTTATATAATCAAAACTATGGGATTTTTAACACGAATTGATACTTAATTACAATCCCTATTGTGACACACTAACACAAATTGTTAATCTCGATTACGTAAAAGTTCAACATATACATTCAAGAGTTAATACCACGAAAAACCCAAAAAAAATTGGTACATTTGTAGCAAATTTACCCCGAACTAATTTTTTTAACCATAAAAAACCCCAAACTGATACACCTGTAATAAATTTACCCAAATCTAATTTTTTGACCACGAAAAACCCCAAACTGATATAGTTGTGACAAATTTACCTTTCGTCATATTGGATTAATATCACAAAAAATCACAGATTGGTAAACTCGTGACAAACGGAAGGATAAAACCCCAAACTGATACACATGTTAACTGCCACGTATCATCTAATTCAGTTATTTGACGATAACATTCATTTGAAACTAACGGAGGGTAAATTTATTACAGGTGTACCAATTTGGGATTTTTGGTAGTTAAAAACATTAGTTTGGGGTAAATCTGTCGTAAATGTACTAGTTTGAGGTTTTTCATGGTATTAACCCTATATTCCACTACCATGAGTTTTATAATGAGATAATTTCTCTTTGACGGAATCGTGGCAAAATAATTTATTGCCCTTGTATCAAGTTCATATAAGCACGGGTCCAAACATTTACCCCCGCAGGTGAACGGGTCAATTTGCGTACATAAATAGTGATTGATCCACTTGGAAAACATCGATACCGAACATTATTCAAAAATAAAAAATATATATTTGCTCTCATTATGCGAAATTATGATACGCGCACCTCATATGGATATTGTCTCGCAACCACTTTTTTTTTTTTAATAATTACACTAGAATGTAACATCCTAATCTCATGATTTCACCACATTTGATCATGATCATCTGGAGATCGCAATAATGTCCGGTCGCAAGAAAAGATGAACCCCACAGGTTAGCTGAAAACAGAGACCACCAGCTCCCGATTTTCCTAATTTTGGAGAGACCACATCTTCGGACTTTTCTTACAATTATGGTTCATAATTCATTGCCATGGTGCAAGAGAAATAATAATTTGAAATGTCGTGAAATTATCACAAAAAAAAAACCTAAAAGTTATAGAATGTCGCATGAACGGGGGAATGAATCTAAAGCATCAATCCACACCATGTTTCAATAAGGTCAACCCTAAAATGGAAAGAATGGAAGGTAAATTGGTTTAAGATGTCGCGTCTAAGAAATTAATTAACGAGTAGTCTAGCCGGTTAAAAATTCACTCAAGAAGGAATAATGTTCAATAGGCCTTTTTCGATCGGCCTCAATACCACCCGACAATCAAACAAAAAGAAAAAGGTTTTAAACGAGAACAAGCACGCCGAGTTATCAAGGTCTTTAGCGTAGACACCCGCTTCACCGAAACATATACGCCATACGTGACCATACTTAATTTGAACCATGCGAATCTATGTACACGGTCGAATGAACAAAAAGAGATATGTGAATTAGCATTCGCGACCCGTTCATGTGTAAAATTTACGTGCATGAACTCAATAATTAGGGTTTGAAGAAAAAGGTGTAGCTCGTGCATGTGTCGCACGATTCCCAGCTCCAAGAGGCGAATTTTGGAGGCATGAGTGAATGGTCTTTCGGCGCATATGGCCGCGAATATGGAATCGAATTCAATGCATCGTTCCTGTTTGAACGTGCATTAGTTGGAAGGCGAGACCTTTGCATCGTTAAGCTTCATGGAATTGCATGATTATGTCGTGTGCTGTAAAAGGTTGGACGGCGTTGATGAGCAATGCCCGGTTGCTCTTGTCCCTCTCCACTAGACCCATTATTTTCGAATTATACGTGCACACATGGAGGCGACGTGAGCATGTAGCTCCAGCTCCATAAATCAACTAGTTGCAAGCAATCCATCTCGAGCTAGTTTTACTTTTTATAGATCGAAATGCCAATTGATGAGCTATCTTGCTCCTTCGTGCGGTGCCTACACATGCGAAGACGGTGCAGATTACTGTTTCTCCTATGAACAACTACTCGCTCGACCTCTCTTTTCCTCTCGATTTGGGAATAATTTTTAGCTTTGCGTATGGAATTATGTTAATATGACGATAACAATTCCAGTCCATGCCATTTCAAACAATGCTAATATAGTAGTATATAATATCGCATTAAAGAGATTAAAGACCATTCGGGGAAAATTTGACCGTCACCCTTAAACTTTCACCCTCTTACATATTAAACCGTAAAATTATAAATCATTTCGCTTTACCCCCAAGCTCTTACTCTCTTGCACCATTGAACCTTGAAATTTAAGTTCTTACGTTTAACCCTCCAGAACTCTCACCCTTTTGCGCATTACGTATAATCGAAATTACTGAACCCCTAGCGGTCAAAGAAACTAATATTTAACACGTATACATTATCCCCATCGAACTTCTTAGGTATTAACACCATCGAATTATTATTATTTTTTCGTTAAAACGTGCAACGCACGTGATTCTTAAGCTGAATATACCGGCTGCAATTTATTAAATTGTTCTGATGGATAAAAATGCCGTCTATTGCAATCCTTCGTCACAGCTGGAGAATCACGAGTGTCGCGCATTTTAACGGAAAAACATTTGGTGGTTACAAGTGAAGAAATAATTCGTCAGCTTCAAGAATAAAGTGTATGGATTTAAAGTTTAGGATTTGATGCGTAAGAAAGCGAAAGTTCATGGGGGGCAAACCGGAAAAGACTTTAAAGTTCAGTATATATTGAGCAAAAGATGCAAGAGTTGAAGGAGGTCAAACGGTGGATTTTAGATTTAGGATCTAACACTAAACAGTGGTGATAGATTAGGGAGGATTAAGTGAAATTTTCTGTAATATTTGAGATTAGGAACATGCGCTTCCCGATGCAATTTACCACCTCTAATGCTAAAATTTTGACAAGAATAGTAAGTAGATATAGTTCTTAATTTCCCCTTTTTTCCACGATAGTGGAGTGAAACTTCTCAGAGTCCTTTACACATCGTCGCTCGTGTTGTTTGGAGGTTGTTGTTCCTATTTGCCTACCGAGAAAAGGGGCAATCGCAAAGATTTGAAAAATTTTGCAGTGGATGGACGAGCGTGCAGTGTTATTTCACCCTCCGACTGCAACGTGATGTCCTGTCTCTTTTCTTTGCAAATGCTCACTGAACGTTTGCTCGATATACAATATGGTCCATAAATTTTAAATATGTTTAATGTGATTCTTGAACTTTAACTCAATGTGTAATATCGTCCTTGAAATTTTAATTTATTTAATGTGATCCTTGAACTTTTGGTACATATTCAATTTAGTCCCTAGGCATTTTCATATTATTCTTGAACTTGAATTGATAAAATGACATCATTGAATATTTTCATACAGTTTGGGAACCACATTAAAC